TGACTCTAAATATATATACTAGGGGATTTTATACATTTATTTACGTAGTTACACACTATTTAGTAAAATCAATTTGGCAAAAGTGCTTTAGCCCAAAACAAGTTAGTTGAAGTGATGATTCGATTGAAAAAGAATATCCCCAGAAGCATTTCTGCCATCTTTTTTTTGACTTTGAGGAGTTTTCCCTTGCCCTTTTTGCTCTCTATAGCTTATTTTCATCCAGTTGTTCCTACTCTGTGCCTTTTAGAACATCAAACATTTTGAAACAACCTAAATATCCAGCCTACACACAGCTCTAGCAATAAGAGTCACCAAATTGTAAACAAATTGTAAAATTTATGCACAAATGCTATATATGGTACTTTATAGTTCTAGAACCCTAAATTGGTTCCAATTTGCAAAATTTATAGTCATGAAAACATTGCCAAACAAGATCTGCTGTAATTAGTTAAAAATGGTTCTGAAAAAATCCCCAAATTCTATAACTTTTTTTGAGCTACTTCTTTTGTAGTTTTATTTTCTTTTTACAAAGCCAATTTAAATTATGACAGAAAAATAAGAAAAGGCAGACAACTACACACACACACACACACACACACATGCATACAACCTATGGTGTCTCCCTACTCAGTGATAGCTACTTCTAGATCTTCTAGTAAAAACTGAATAATATGATGCATATTATTTGAAAGAACTGCATTTAATTTATGCAGTCCTCCACTGTTGAACATCTAGGTTGAGTTCAATAAATCCCATATTTTGTGCATTTAAGTTTTTATGACTTTTTTTGCTATGAGTAGCAGCACAGAACAATAATAACTAGATAAAATTGATCTGAAATAGAAAATGAAAGGTTTGGGCAAAACTCCCCAGAATTCTGAAAAATGGTTTTAAAAATGTTTAAAGACACAAAAGTTGTAAAACCCCAAAGCATACTGTACAACAGACATACCTGTACAACAGAACCCAAGTTGGTGAGATGTATTTATCTTCAAACAAATCCTCATCTTTAGCTGCTTTTGGGAAATCGTCTGCAGCCTTTCAGGTTGTGAGGATCTTTAAGAAGTAAATTACTTCTTGCCCAAGATGATGGGTTTCCCCTCCTAAAATGCCTTTTGACTAAGAACAGATAACAGCAATTTGCTGCAGCTGTTAGCATGGCAAACTAGCAGGAACATATCTGAGACTATATTATTTGTTCCACTGGTGATAAGGAATGGGCTTCTCTCTAGAATTTCTGATCAGGATCATAGCACCAAGTAGCAAATTTAATAATTTGTATCCACTTCCCTTCCAAGCTCATTTAAAAACATTAGGTGCAGTCTCTTCTGTTAGCCCTCTGTTCATCTTTACCCTAATACTACATTGTCTTGATTACTGTAACCCTATAATAAGTCTTAAAATCAGAATGTTATTTCTCCAACTTAGAGAAAGTTGTTTTTCAAAGTTGTTTTGGCTATACTGGGTCTTACGCATTTCCTTGCGAATTTTGGAATCAGTTTGTTAATTTTTGCAAGAAAGCTTGTGGAATTTGGAGTTGGGGCTGGAATATGGTTACCTTAGCAATAGTGATTTGTCCAGCCCACGAGCATTGTATATGTCTCCATTTGTTTAGGTCTGCTTTAATTTCTCTCAGCAGTGGTTTGTGGTTTTTAGTGTACAGGTCTTTCTCATCTTTTGTCAGATTTATCCATAAGTGGTTCATACTTTTTGATGCTATTGAGTAAGTTGCATATATTTTTAAGTTTCAACCAATTGCTCATTGATAATGGATAGAAATATAACTGGTTTTCACAGACTGATGTTTTGTCCATGGTGACCAACACTTATCTGAACATCTGATGTTCAAAATAGGTGTAAGAGCAATTCCACTGAAATCATGTTTTCAACAAATAGTGCTGGGACAATTGGATATCCATATGCAAAAAAACCCTGAAACCAAGCCAATATGGAACTTTCGATCCACACTTTATATTATATAAAAAATTAATTCAAAATGATTCACAGACAGAAATGTAAATTCTTAAAGCTATAAAACATCTAGAAGAAAACATTTGTGACCTTGAGTTAGGCAAAGATTTCTTAGAGATGACACTGAAAGCATAATACATAAAAGAAATAAACTGAACTTAATCAAAGTTAAAATTTTCTGTTCCTCATCAGACACTGTTAAGAGAATGAAAAGACAAGCCACAGGCTCTGAGAAAATATTTGCAAATCATATCTGATAAAGGTTTTGTATCCCAAATATATAAAGAACTCTTGAAACTCAATAATAATTCAACAGCTGAGTTTTTAAAAGGGCAAAAGGTGTAACCAGATGCTTTAACAAAGAAGATGTATTTGATGGCAAATAAGCACATGAAAAGATGCTCAACATCACTGGTTATTAGGAAAATGCAAATTAAAAACTCTGAGAAGAAAATACGAGAGTCCACTACACACCTATTAGAATGGGTACAAATAAAGAGATTGACCAACCACACACACACACACACACACAGAATTTGGTAAATATATGAGGTGATGAATGTGTTAACCTTATTGTGGCAATCATTTCACAATATGTACATATACTAAATCATCATGTTGTACACCTTAAGCTTACACAATGTTATATGTCAATTATATCTCAATAAAGCTGGAAAAAAATTTTCAAGGAAAAAAAAGAAAGACTGGCCCTACCAAGTGCTGACGAGGATGTGAAGGAATTGGAACTCACACACCACTGGTGGGAATATAAAAATTAAACACACACATGTCATATGAGTCAGCCATTCTGCTCCCACTGTCTCTACCCAAAAGAAATGGAAGCCTGTGTCCACACAAAACCGACATGTGAATGTTCATAACAGCTTTAAGTGTAACAGCCCCAAACCAGAAACAACCCAGACGTCCAGTAACAACCGAGTTGGATGAACAAAATGGTGTGATACCCATGCAATGAAATACTTCTCAGCAATAAAAAGGAATGAACTATTGATACAGATTACAAGATGGAGGGAGAATTCTCAGAGCAATTGCTATGACTGAAAGTAGCCAGACAAGAAAGAGTACATTTTGTATGACTTCATTTATATAACATTCTAGATATGACAGCAAGTCAAAAGTGACCAAAATCCCATGGTGGTGGCCTGGGGGATAGGGCTGGGTGGGAGGTAAGGGTTACGCAGGACAAGAGGAAATTTTTGGTAGTGATGATTATATTTACCTTCACGATCATGATGTTTTCATGAGTGTATACATTTACCTCTAAACATATCAAATCATGTAATTAAATGTATGAAGTTTATTATCTATTGTATCTCACTAAACCTGTTCAAGAAACACCGAGAAACACCAGGAGCTGCAGAATGGCAGCAGTACCTTTGTGAGGTCAAAAACGAGGCTGTGGGTGGTGAGCTTTGGAGGTCTTGCCTGCAGAGTTCTCTGCACTTGCTGGGCTCTAACTAAAGCTGCATCTCACTTTCACACTGTTCTGGTCGAGTTGCCCCAGTCGGCTAGCTACTGGGCACACTGGCTAGGGACATGAGAGGAACCGACCAGGTCACCAACATAAGTCAGATTCTCAGATGGGGTCGGGGGGAATCCATAGTCTCAAGAAAATAAAACTTCATGAAACCCTGCAGAGCTACAGGGTTCACACCAAGCCAGCAAGCGGCAACTGTGGGTGGATACCTCTGATCAAGTACTCTAGGTAGATAGATTGGCCCGACTGGAGGCAAATTATTGGGAGTCTTGCCTTAAAACACGCACACACATACAGATCATGGGATTAACTAACTCTTGGAGAATCTATGAATGGGCTTTAATGGGTCCCTGGCCCCCAAATTAGATGCATGTGCATTCATGCATTTTTCTGGGGAGAGGGTTCCTGGCTTTCATCGGACCCTCAGATTGCTCCCTGACTATAAGAAGCGCCAACAAGGATAAAGCCAGACCATCTATCCTTTCTCCTCCCTCCTCTCTAGCTCCCCGGAATGAAAACCTATGAGTCACTCATTCGGTTCTTTCTGCGGAGATTACATCTATGCGACCTACGTTCATCTGGAATACACCGAGCCACCACTGGCTTTATTTCTTCCCCCTTTGCCTGACTGCGCGTACTCCAAGCAGCCCCACCACTCCCGCGCCCTTCCACGCCCTTCCACGGTTTCCTGCTGCTTAAGAAGTTGGAGAGGTTTCCAGGTCCCTCGGGAGTGCAACCTGCCCAACACGTTTTTTCTCCTCAGCGAGCCAGTCTCTACCCCATCCCGCCGCCACCCATTCGTATTATTCGCTTTCGTTTGAGGGTAGAGAGCAGGTCGCTTTCCTCGGACCCCTGTGGGCACTGCGCGCGGTGCAGCGTCTGCACAGCTTTCCTCGTGGGGCTCGGAGAACCGCCTCCACGCATTTCTCTCAATTGCTGGGAGACTCCCACCCCGAGCCCCCACTGCAAACCCCGCGCCTTCCCTTCGCCTCTTACATCGGGAAGACGTGAAACTCAAAGCCTGGCCACACGTCTCCCTTCCCTGGGTGACCCCGCAAGCTGCGGTGGGTCGGCTCCCGGCGCTGCGCTCCCCACCGCTGCCTCCACGTGTCCCCGCGCGCGGGCGCAGCGCCCCGTCCCCTCTTCCCCACCGGCGCAGCGCCCTTTCCTGGGCTCCGAGTCGCGGCCGCGGTAGGTGGGGCGCTCGCTGCCACCCGCCTGGGGCGCCCCGCCGCCTCCCGCCGCGCCGCGCCCCACGGTCCCGCCGCGCCCCACCGCCGCGCCGCGCCCCACCGCCGCGCCGCGCCCCACCGTCCCGCCGCGCCCCACCGTCCCGCCGCGCCCCACCGTCCCGCCGCGCCCCACCGTCCCGCCGCGCCGCGCCCCGCCCCACCGTCCCGCCGCGCCCCACCGTCCCGCCGCGCCCCACCGTCCCGCCGCGCCGCGCCCCGCCCCACCGTCCCGCCGCGCCCCACCGCCGCGCCGCGCCCGACGCCCCCCTGCCGCGCCAGGGGAGCACGCCTCTCCCTACCTGGCGTCGCCGGCCCGAGCGTCAGCAGCAGCTGCAGCAGCGACAGCAGCGCGGCGAGGGCGCTGACCCTGCAGCCAGACCTCCGCCGCCCGGCCATGGCCCGAGCCGGGCCCTGGGCTCGCAGCGGCCCGGACGCCCCGCCGGCCGCGCGGGCAGATGCCCGACCGTCCCGGAGGAGGTGCTGGGCGCAGCTCCCGGGACCGGCTGCCCCGCGAGTCGCATTCGCTTTCGCTTTTGCTTTAGCCCCCGGAGGGCTGGGGAGAGGTGAGAAGCAGTGACAGATCTGTGACTCAGCATCCCCACCCCCTCCTCTCGAAAAAGCCCTGGCCGCCGCCGTGCCCCCCGCGCAGCCGCCCGCGTCCCCGGAGCGCTGCTGGCTGCGCGGAGCGAGGACCCTGACCGTCACCTGCAGAAGCCTGGGGTCCCCCCCTCCTCTTCTCTCCTCGGCCCTGGGGACCCCAGAAGTGAGTCCATTTGGTCCTGTGTCCTGTCGCAGAGGGAGTCGGCACTCTTACAGTGAGCACGGCCGGTGGGCGTTCACACCTGCTTCCTGCGGCGCCGGGTCACTTCCCTGCGCTTGTCTCCGCCTGTCACTCCGGCGTCGACGTCCCAAGTGTCCCTGCTCTGCCGGGCTGGCGGGCGAGTGGCCCTGTGCGCCGCTGGTCCCTCCGGTCCGGGTGGCACTTTGCCTTAATCCAGTCGCGAATTTCTTCCCCAAGAAAATGTCAGACAGTTGAAGGGGGCGCGGGAGGGAGGAGAAGGACGAAGGGCCTGACAGTTACTCCTCTCCGCGCCTTAGTACCTCTCTTCGGACGAGTTCTCCTACTCTGCCGTCTTGCTCTTTTGCGGGTGGGGTTTTTTGTTTTTTCCTTCCTTTCTCGGGATCTCAAGTGAAGCCTGACGTTATTAAAGACCCGTCTGTAATGAGAGAGCTCCGGGTGCACAGTCAGAAATTCCCGATTATAGGACTGAAGTTAGGCAAGATCAGACATCTCTGGGCTGCAGTCTGTTCCCAGTGGTAACATCTGGAATCACTCTAATACAGTATCACAACTAGGAAACTGACCTTCATGAAGATCCACAGGCCTCCAGCAGATTTTGTCGGTTTTCCATGCATGCATTCACGTGCGTAGTTAGCGCAGGTTTGTCACACACAGATCCGTCTGTGACCACATTGTCAGGACAGGGCACAGGACCTGTGGCAGGGATCCTTCCTCCTTCTCTGTTACAGCCACAGTCACCTTCCTCTCTCGAAGCCCTGGCAACCACCGATCTATGCTCCATCCCTAGGATTTCGTCCCTTGAAGAATGCTTATAAATGGAATCGGCAGTTTGTAACCTTTAGAGTTGGTCTTTTTTCCTCCCAGCGTAATCCCCTCGAGATCCCTTCAGGTTGTCCATTTGTCCAAACTATCTGTGGTCTGTTCCATTTATGAGTAGCACTGATGGTTTTTTTTTTGTTGTTTGTTTGTTTGTTTGTTTGTTTGTTTGACAGGGAGAGACACAGAGAGAGAGGGAACACAAGCAGGGGGAGTGGGGGAGAGGGAGAAGCAGGCTTCCCGTAGAGCAGGGAGCCCAATGCGGGGCTCGATCACAGGACCCTGGGATCATGACCTGAGCCGAAGCCAGACGCTTAACGACTGAGCCACCCAGGCGCCCCGGTTTTTTTTTTTAAATGTAGGAATCTCTGCCGTCCACACTCCAACAACCCTGTGCTTTTATACACACATAAGTTTCCTAGAGCTGCTATAACAAAGTACCCAAACCAGGTGGCTTCACACAACACGAATTGTTTCTCCCAGATCTCGAGGTCAGGAGTGTTGGCCACGCTATGCTCTCTTGGAAGGCTCTGGGGGCAGATCCTTCCTTGCCTCTTCCAACTCTTGTGTTTGCTGGCAAGTCTCGTGGTTCTTGGGCTCGCAGATGCAGCTCTCCAGTTCCATGGCAGTCTTCTCCCTGTGTATCTTCACATCAGCTCTCTGTGTGTGTGTCCGTGTCCGAATTTCTCCTTTTTATAAGGATACCAGTCGTATTGGATTAGGACTCACCCGCCCTAAAATAACCTCATTTTAATGTAATGACCTCTGTAAAGACATTATATCCAGTAAGGTACTGGGGGTTAGGATTTTAATGTAATTTTGGAGGTTGACACACTTCAAGAAGGTATCTTTCTTTCTGAAAACGGAGTCCAAGACCCGTTTTCTCAGGCCAAAGGAAATTGAAAGGAATGGCTGGATTCCTGGGGTACAGTGTCTACACTTCAGGGGTGATGCAGGTGGCAGGTCCTTCGGGGGCTCCGAATCAGCATGTCCAGACAGGGCTGGCGAACTTGGCCAGCAGCCATCACTCAGAGCAGAGGGGGAGTTGAGACAGTGCTGTGGGGCCAGGAAGGCCAATGGCTGGGGGCGGGGTCTTTAGCCTTGCACTGTCCTCTGTTGGGGGATAGACAGCGGACCCTTGGAGCTGGAGGGCAAGCTGTCAGATTATGTCACCAAGAAGGGGATGGCTGGGGCTCAAGGCTGATGGATTCTTCCCTCTCTCTCTCTTTCTTTCAGCTTTAGAATTTTATTTTTTTTAATTTTTTAATTTTTTAATTTTTTAAAGATTTTATTTATTTATTTGAGACAGAGAGAATGAGAGACAGAGAGCATGAGAGGGAGGAGGGTCAGAGGGAGAAGCAGACTCCCTGCCGAGCAGGGAGCCCGATGCGGGACTCGATCCCGGGACTCCAGGATCATGACCTGAGCCGAAGGCAGTCGCTTAACCAACTGAGCCACCCAGGCGCCCCTATTTTTATTTTTATTTTTTCAAAGATTTTATTTATTTATTTGCGAGAGAGAATGAGAGACAGAGAGCACGAGAGGGAGGAGGGTCAGAGGGAGAAGCAGACTCCCTGCCGAGCAGGGAGCCCGATGCGGGACTCGATCGCGGGACTCGATCCTGGGACTCCAGGATCATGACCTGAGCCGAAGGCAGTCGCTTAACCGACTGAGCCACCCAGGCGCCCTGTGATTTTCCTTTCTTGATATTTGAAATGTTTTTTTTTTTTAAGATTTTATTTATTTATTTGACAGAGAGAGAATGAGAGAGAGAGCATGAGAGGGAGGAGGGTCAGAGGGAGAAGCAGACTCCCTGCTGAGCAGGGAGCCCGATGCGGGACTCGATCCCAGGACTCCAGGATCATGACCTGAGCCGAAGGCAGTCGCCCAACCAACTGAGCCACCCAGGTGCCCAAATAAATAAAATCTTATTTTTAAAATTTTTTTTTATTTTTTAAAGATTTTTTATTTATTTATCTGAGAGAGAGAATGGGAGACAGAGAGCATGAGAGGGGGAGGGTCAGAGGGAGAAGCAGACTCCCTGCTGAGCAGGGAGCCCGATGCGGGACTCGATCCAGGGACTCCAGGATCATGACCTGAGCCGAAGGCAGTCGCTTAACCAACTGAGCCACCCAGGCGCCCTCGGCTTTAGAATTTTAAACTTTTAAATTCATATAACATGAAATTCACCATTTTTTAGTGTATAACTCAGTGGTTTTTAGTATATGCACGATATTGCCCAGCCATCTCCACTATCTAATTCATTCCAGAATATTTCTGTCACCTCCAAAAGAAACCCAGTGTGTTAGCAGTCACTCCCAGTTTCTGTTCTCCTAGCCCCTGGTAATCTATAATCTACTTCTATCTCCATTCTAAATAATTCATATAAATGTAATCATAAAATATGTTCTTTTGTGTCTGGTTCCTCTCAGCATAATGTTTTCAGGTTTTGTCAATGTTGTAGCATGTATCAGTATCTCATTCCTTATTATGACAGAATAATACTCCATTAGATGGATATTACATATTTTGTTTATTCATTTACCAGTTCGTGGATATTTGAGTTATTTTCATTTTGGGGCTATTATGAGTAACTAAGTATGGTAGTGCAACCAGAAAATGGCCGTTAATGCAATGCATAGACCTTATTCAAATTTTGTGTTTTTTTCCATGCATTCATTTGTTTGTGTGTGTGTTTAGCTCTGTGCAGTTTTGTCTTATATGTGGACATTCATATCCATGCTTTTGTGTAAACACATTTTCATTTTGCGGGGGTTGTGTACCTGGGAGTGGAACTGTTGGGTCATGTGGTAATTCAACGATTCTTGGGCACCTGGCTGGTTCAGTTGGTTAAGGGTCTGCCTTCAGCTCAGGTCATGATCCCGGGGTCCTGGGATCGAGTCCCACATCGGGCTCCCTGCTCGGCGGGGAGTCTGCTTCTCCCTCTGCATCGCCCCCCCACTCATGCTCTCTCTCTCTCTCTCTCGCTTGCTCTCTAAGTAAATAAATTTTTTAAAAAGATTTTATTTATTTATTTGACAGAGAGAGAGACACAGCGAGAGAGGGAACACAAGCAGGGGGAGTGGGGGAGGGAGAAGCAGGCTTCCCACTGAACAGGGCGCCCAATGTGGGGCTCCATCTCAGGACCCCAGGACCATGACCTGAGCCACCCAGGAGCCCCTAAGTAAATAAATTTTTTTTAAAGATTTTATTTATTTATTTGACAGAGAGAGACACAGCGAGAGAGGGAATACAAGCAGGGGGAGTGGGAGAGGGAGAAGCAGGCTCCCCGCAGAGCAGGGAGCCCGATGCGGGACTTGATCCCAGGACCCCGGGACCATGACCTGAGCTGAAGGCAGTCGCTCAACCAACTGAGCCGCCCAGGCGCCCTAAGTAAATAAATTTTGAAAAATCTTTAAAAAAAAGAAGATTCTTGAAGGACAGGAAGAAGACTCGTGGAACCATTTAGGAAGTAGGCACACTAGATTCTCAGACTAGGGGGTGATGCATTTCTGGTGCTCATCAGGTGGTGGTGTACAGCACTGTGGGAGACACGGACTTAGGAACTGCAAGACCAGCATAAGGGCATCCAGCTGCTGTGGCTACCCTGGGGAAACCAAGGTGCGTGGAAATGAGGTGAAGGGAATGAAAGAAAACTAGTCTACCCATAGAAGGAGTTTTGCTCAAGAACAGAAAACAAAAACAAAAGATGTAAAAGGAAAGAATTACTTCTCAGTACTCAAAATATAAAACAAGCACATTTCCTTATTTTTGTAAGTCATATCATATCTGGCTCCAAGCTTCTACCTGCCAAGATCAACAAAAATCTGATAACAGTCTCCCAATTCCCCACCACCCAAATAGCAAATTGTTCTTTTCCTTTCCCCTGGGTCTCACCAGGACCCAGGAAAAATTGGGAGAGGATGTGACCTATGTGTTCTTGGTCACTCCTGATGGTCATTGTCCAGACCCACCCTCTGGCTTCTTGTCTTAGCAAACC